AGAGGGACGTTGTTTCGCCCGTAACAAACTTGTTACGGGCGAAACAAACTGGATTTCCACAGTCCCGCCACTCAAAGAGCTCCCCACACCATCGCAAAGTCCCTTTTTTATTACAGACACATGTAACAAGTTGTCATAGCTTGAGATTGTCGATATATGACTGCTGGATTGTGACCAGGCCATCTCCTTACATGTCTTGCTGCACCAGCATGAGCAGTGATCCCTTCTGTTCAAAATTTTCAGGCAACATCGCAATGAGGCAAAACATTGTGCCGAATCTGCCGTACAAAGAGTGTTCAAAGCTTCACGCTACTAACGGACGAATACATAAGCATTCATTTACCTTGAAAGAATAAAGGAATTCTATAGCTTCATACAAATTCGCCTATCAGCAACTCTCCCTGGTCGTTCAAAAGTTGCTTGAAGATTCTACCATCTCCATACTATGAAGGAGCGCTTCTTCATTTCTTCATTTTATCTGAACCTTAACGTATCCTTCCAACACAATGTCCATGGACAACGGTAATGAGGTCGGCGCCTACGAGTTTGACCGGAACGCCCTGGACAACATCGCCCGTCGGCGACAAGATCGCCCACGCAAGAAATACAGCCAGCATCGTCCAGTGGATGAGTTTGGAGTACATAAGCTTGCCAGGGCAAACAATCTAAGTCAATTTACCGCGTGCCAATTGGAGGATGCCTTGTCCAAGGAAAGGTGCCATATGGACGACCTTGTGTTAGTTTAGTTGTTGCATGTAAGCTTGTGAGTTGGTGGCCTGGTTCATGCTTATGGGCGACAATTGAAATGCCGGGACAATGACTTATTATACTGGATTCACATGCTACGTTACGTTGCGAAAACTTTTTTTTGGAAAAGTGGGCCTGAAAAAGTCACCCAGTTCACATGGGACATTACGACGACGTTGTGTCGTTGGCGCGAGCTGTTTAAACCATCTCCATTTTATGTCTTTCAATGGCCAAAACTTCAGCACGTCCCCTTAGAATCGCAATATATAATTGACGGGTTATTGGCAGCCCTGCCTACTGCAATGGCACTGCATCCCGCGCGAGCCGCGATGGCGTTTGCCCTAGCGGCCGCTATGGATGAAATTTTTGACAACCTTGAGGATATGTTCAATTCTCAATGGCATTGCTTGAGCGTGTGGGCCGACGCGGCGCGGCCCATGCCGCCGGAAGTGCGGCCGACTTGCCATTTCGGGGATGGCTTCAGCCCTGATACTACAATGGGTTACATATTGGCTATGTAAGCGGTCGTGCGCGGGCGAGCAACACGAGCGGCGTTGTCCTTGTTCATTTTCCAAAATAAACTGCAGCGGTGTGACTAGAAATTCGGTCGGAGTGCAAAGCGCGCACAATTTGTCAAATATGTGGTCTTTATAAGCGATTGGGCTTGGCTGTTTGTTATAACTCGCGAAATTGGCGATGCAATTCAGCTAACGGTACGAGGGGTCGAAATTCAACCCCCCCCGGTCACTTTAGACTTTTCGTCCACTTTACCGGTAACGTACCGTTACCATGTCCGAACCGACCACTTTTCCCAAAAAGTCTTAACGTAACGTAGCATGTGAACTGGCTATTAGGGACAATGACACGGCATTTCACGCCCTCAAAGCGGGAACAAACGCTAAAACTAAATACATACATAGTTCTAAATCTTCTACTAAA